AGATATATTTCCATCTCACTGTTATAGTAAACACATAAACTTTTTGGCATGAGGAGATATTGAACAAAAAGTGATTTATACAATACCAGAAGTAATCAATGAATTATCGATACCATTGAACGTCTAAAAAATTTAAAGGGAACGAATTTATTAAACAGTTCGTTGGCCTCTATTTTAGTTGGGAATTATTTATCTACGCTTTATTTCAAATATTTTTCTATATTGCATCTCACTATTAAGACTTTCTAACAACATTTTAACGGCACGGGTACACGAGTTACATATAATATGTAATATGTTTAAATATAGTAGTAGTAACACACAAGCATTATCCCGCGAAATAATGGCAGCGGCCTGTTTGGACAAAAATCAGTCCTTTATCTGCATTTAGACAAAATTCCTCCCCGAAAATAATGAACTGTTTAATTACTCGGTTCTTTTACTCCTGCGTTTCTTTGAACGCAGTCATTTTGTTCAAGCCTTTCATGTGAGGCACTCAGATACCTTTGCGATCGTCTTGCTTGATCTTGAAATAGGCTTTATCGTTGTGGCTTACGTCGTTCCGTTGCTAATCTTTTCCTCCTTAGAGATATATCCATTTCAATGTTAAAGTGAAGACATTAGATTTTTTAACATGAAAAGATACTGAGCAAAAAGCAATTTATATAATACCAGGAGTAATCAATGAATCGTAGATACCATTGAGGGGTTAAAATATATAAAGGGAACGGATTAATTAAATGACTCATTAGCTTCTATTTTAGTTGTGAATTCTTTATCTCTGCTTTATTGAATCTCAATACATTGTTCAAAGACTTTTGTTTCATTGCATCTCATTGTTAGAACTTTCGAACAATTGCCGCCATTTTTACGGCACAGGTACACTATTAATAATAATAGTAATAATAATAATCAACTGAAAAATTTTGTTAGTCCAAAATGCAGATTCTGTGATAAATATCCAGAAACAATTGACCATCTTGTATTAGGTTGCACGGTATTGTCACCCACTGAATATAAAACATGGCACGACAGAGTCGGCCAATATCTGCACTGGAAAATCTGCAACGCTTAAGGAAAGGAAACTGCAAGAAAATGGTATGAACACAATCCAGACCCGCTTGCGAAGATAGGACCTGTAACAGTTTTATGGAACTTCACAATACACACAGACAGAACAATCAAAGCTAATCGCTCTGACATCGTGATTAGAGACCGCAAAGACAAAATGTCCCTTCTTATTGACATGGCAGTCCCTGCAGACTGCAATGTATCTTTGAAGATCTTCAAAATAATTTCAAAATACAAGGACCTTGAAATCGAAATCTAAAAAATGTGGCACATGAGGACATTAACAATTCTTTTTGTAGACTCCTCGGATTGATTGTAAAAGATTCCAATAGACTCATTGAAGGAATCTCTTGTAGCCTACGCCTTAAAAAAAAAATAAAAAAAAAATTGTACTCACAAGTAAAGCCTTACGAAGGGCTTTGTCTATGTAAAATATATGCGATTTTTTTCCAAACTACTCAGTGTCATGATGCCATTACTGACCTTAGGTCTCTGGTTGGGACCCGGAAAGAAATGAGTATACACCAGAAACCAAATGAAATAAAACAACAACAACAATAATAATAATAGTTCTTTGTATTTACTCAACTACCTGAATTCTTTGAAATATTGCGATCGCATGGCAGAATTATGTCGATCAACAGACAACGTCTATTTTGGTGATCTTTGACTACTATACCTGGTCTGTTTGCTTTGATTGTTTAATCTGTGTTCAGAGGAAAGTCCCATAAAATACATCATTTTAATCCCTCGGTTACAGGTTTAGGTCGATGCTTGTACCGCACACCTTTAATTTTAATTTTGCATTATCTGCAGATTACCCAATGTAAGTACTAACCTCTTCGGTCATTTTCAACGACACGGTACACTAGTTACAGTCGAATCCATTACATTCACTTAGGTGCTGATACCATTGAGAAAAATATGAATCCTCTTCTTCTCCCCCCCCCAGCTATGGGTAAATAGTAGGACAGACTGGATTCTATAGCCTTGGATGACAACTGGTCTACCGCAGAAAGAAATGGCAACCTACCGCAAGAAAAAAATCTGCCTCGTCAGTCATGTATCGAAAGATACATGAACGCCTAAGCGTGTATCACGCATGGCACATAACTGAAGTAAAAAGTATACGAACTTTTTATCCAGCGATATAATTGCAGCGGTGTATGTAGGCCATATGCTGTCCAGACTACATATCCTCCGCCACCCTCGGCCGAACCAACAAGACCCAAAAGGAATACAGGACATCAAATTTGAGACCGGCTTGGTTGCAAGAATTGGTGGAAGCATGTCAGTGTCGTCGGCCAATAGTCTTTTAGGTTCCATTCCGAATATTCCGTCTCATCATGCTATATATATATATATATATATATATATATATATATATATATATATATATATATATAAATAAAAAAGAAAGAACAGAAAAGATATAAAACCGGTGTTCTTATAGATATTTTATTTTTACAAAATAGTGCTCAATGTAAATTTACAGAGCATTAATATTATAAATTAATTGATTTAAAATATATTTTTTTTCGCTACACAGTTCCAACCATGTTTCAAAAATAGAAGTTAAAAACTTCTGAATTTAATTTTGCAATTAAATTAAAAGCATTAGTTCCATTTCATATATATATATATATATATATATATATATATATATATATATATATATATATTTCTCCTGGACCAATACCTTATATCCTGTCACTAAGTGAATGAAAAAAAAAACGAGGCACCGTAAAGCAAATACTATCCCAGTAATGGTAGGGACACTTAGAAAGGAACTTTTGAACATGATACCTGGAAATGCTTTCTTTAAAAGAAGTCAAAAAAAAAATAATACTGGCTGTCACTGCCCATGTATTACGGAAAGTTCTGCCAGCATAGATACTGACACAATGTGTGCATTTTTTTTTTAATTTGCTGAATGTTTAATTGACGAATGAAACTATTACCCATTTCTTTCTCCTGATGGCTGGTTGGAAAATGATGATGGAAAAATAAGCCACTTCATGGTCAATACTCTGCCCGTACCAAATAAGCTGATGTAAACAAACCCCGTATTCATCAGTGGTTACGTAATGAAGGGTTAAAAGTTAAAACCGAAGATTTTATTCTTGCTGCACATAACCAATGCTTGCTGACTAGAAATTACCAAGCGTACGTTCTGAAAAAAATTATGTTGACCCCAAATGCAGATTCTGTGATAAATATCCTGAAACGATTGACCATCTTGTATCAGGTTGCATAGTGTTAGCACCAACTGAATATAAAACTCGGCATGATGGAGTAGGCTAATATCTGCACTGGAAAATATTCAACTTTTACGGAAAGGAAACTGCAAGAAACTGGTATGAACATCACCCAGACCTGGTTACAGAGATAAGATCTTCTAGGTGGGGATTTGAAGAGGAGAAGTGGGTTTATCCCGTCGGGATGGATGCTGTAGATGTAGTATCTGTTCCGTGCATGGAGACCTTCTCTCTTCCCTCGCTCCACTCCCACCTCCATCGTTACATAACGGTGATATGACCAGAGGCACGATGGAGTAATGGCTAGCGGTTCGGATTGAGGAATTGGAGAGCCGAGTTCGAATTCCACTCGAATCTATTACATTCACTTACATTCTAATACCCTTGGGAAAGGTAAGAATCCTCCTCCTCTCCACCCAGCTAAAATGGGTAAATAGCAGGACAAACCGGGTTCTATAGCATTGGATGGCAACTGGTCTACCGCAGAAAGATATGGCAACCTACTGCAGAAAGTCATGTATCGAAAGATACATGATCGCCTAAGCGTGTATGACCAGCTATGACTAGCTTAGACAAGCTATGACCAGCTCAGACCAGATTTGACCAGCCAAGACAAGCGTTGACCAACTTAGACAAGCTCTGACTAATTTAGACAAGCTTTGACCAGCCAAGACAAGCTTTGACAAGCTCTGACCAGCTTAGACAAACTATGAACAGCTTAGACAAGGTAAGACCAATTTAGACAAGCTAAGGCAAGCTTTGACTATCTTAGACAAACTATGACCTGTGGGGAGTCAAGGAAATCTAGGGAATTCACGTCAGAGCGGTGGGAAAGTGAGTGAATCGAGATGCCAGGTCAGGATTGATAACAATACAGACCCTTCTTTGGATTTTGTCAAGAATCTCGACGAATAATAGCCGGAGCAGAACAGCTATATTCAATGCACGGACAAATGACTGATTTATAAATGTATAATGTTTCCGATGAGAAAGATCGTCTGGCAAACACAGTGAATCAACGTTCTTAGCAGCAAAGCTAGCGATTGATTCAATATAATCGATCAACTTCATGTCATTAAAAAACGCGAAGCTACGAAGGCGCAATGAGTCGCCCTTCTGGAGGTTAGCATCAGCCATGTTGATAGAGAACAAAAATAGTTCTCTATGAGGATTAAAGAAAAGCAGTTTCTTTTTTGAGGCGTTAAATGCTGACAATTCTAGACAATGTTTCTAACCATTCACGCCCTTTTCTTCCGGACGTCTGTAAAAAGGATCAGTCGAAACGTTCTGGGGACAGTATCAGCAACACAAAGAATAAATCAAGTTGTTTGTAAAAATGTTGGAAATGGCAAGCATTTATTTTGTTCTTATCTAACAGAAATCGAGACCTTTTCTTTTTTTATTTTCTTTAAGAAATATTCTAATTACTTATTGTATATATTTAACTTTTTGTCAATATTTTCTTTTTAATTGACAACATTGAGGTACACGTCACTAATTTAGTTTCAGTGACACATTCCGTGTTTGTTTCTGACGCCTGCCAAATCGTCACCCCCTATTTCTTGTCCTCAATACATTAATTTCACATGAACTTTAATAACACCTGAAAGAAAAAAGGAAAGAAAATGAAGTAAATCGATTGAAACAAAGAAAGAAAATGAAGTGAATTGATTAAATAAAAAGAAAGAAAGAAAGAAAGAAAAAAATTGGTAGAAAGAAAGAAAAAAAGAAAAAGAAGAGAATTGGTAGAAAGAAAGAAAGAAAGAAAAAGAAGAGAATTGGTTGAAAGAAAAAGGAATCGGTTGAAAGAAAGAAAGAAAGAAAGAAAGAAAGAGGAATCGGTTGAAAAGAAAGAAAGAAAAAGAAGAGAATTGGTTGAAAGAAAAAGGAATCGGTTGAAAAGAAAGAAAGAAAGAAAGAAAGAAAAAGAAAGGAATCGGTTGAAAGAAAGAAAGAAAGAAAAAGATGAGAATTGGTTGAAAGAAAACGGAATCGGTTGAAAGAAAGAAAGAAAGAAAGAAAGGAATCGGTTGAAAGAAAGAAAGAAAAAGAAGAGAATTTGTAGAAAGAAAGAAAGAAAAAGAAGAGAATTGGTAGAAAGAAAGAAAGAAAGAAAAAGAAGAGAATCGGTTGAAAGAAAGAAAGAAAGAAAGAAAGAAAGAAAGAAAGAAAAAGAAAGGAAGGAACTGTTTGAAAGAAAGAAAAAAAAAAAAGAGAAGAATTGTTTTGAAAAAAAAAAGAAATCGGTTGAAAGAAAGAAAGAAATGAAAAAGTAAAATAAAGAAGAGAATTGACTGAAAGAAAGAAAGAAAGAAAGAAAAACTTAAGGATGTCAAAAATTATAAACATATGAAAATTAAAAAAAGAATGACAGTGATCAAAAAGAAAATATAGAAAGAAATAAAAATTTAAAGAAAGAAGAGAAAGAAAGAAAGATATAGCCAATAAAAAGTAAAAGAAAGAAAGAAAGAAAGAAAGAAAAAAAAGAAAGAAAAGTTAATCGAAAACAAAAATCGGTTGTTTGTAACGAACAATCCACACGGCCAAAAACACCTGACCTTTTTTTTTTTTTAACTTCATCTTCAGTCATTTTGACAAGAGGTTTTTAGAAGTAACCACCATTCATTCAGTGAAATCACACGTTGGCGTTGAGTTCGAGCCACGCCCACTCGTATGTACCCCATTAGGAGTTACGTAATGTTGCAATTACAGTCAAACGCTCAGAGTGGTCTCTGCTGGTGCCAAGATAACTATGGGACATTTTCTCTATTGACTCACGGTTATCAAGTACGCGTGATGGGAGCCCAATGCTCCCGCTGCACGTCAAAAGTACTTCTCTTGTAGTAACTCTCCGCCTACGAAGGTAATTAATCTAAATCCTCAGCATTTTTCAATTTGAACTCTTTTGCACCAAAACTGGAATTTAAAGACAATTCCAGAGAAAATCGAGGTGTTTTTTTTTTCAAATGTTTTAAAAATAGACGTTCTTTAGCTCATGACCATACATAATAGACATTTATTGTCTGTTATACTGAACTATATATATATATATAATGTTGATGTTTCTAACAGACTAGCTCACAAATGACCTAAAAAACAAGAAAAATAAACAAGAAAAAATAAAACTAAGAAAGAAAAATGAACTGAAATCAACAAGACACAGCTCAAGTCACTATATATATATATATATATATATATATATATATATATATATATATATATATAATAAAAAAAAAGGAAGAACCATAAGATATATAATCCGGTGTTCTTATTGATATTTTTTTTATTTTTACAAGACAGTGCTCAATGTAAATTTACAGAGCATAAATATTATAATTTAACGGATTTAAAAATATGGTTTCATCGCTACACAATATGTATGTATGCATGTCAATATTTTCTTTTTAATTGACAACTTTGAGTTACATGTCACTAATTTAGTTTCAGTGACACATTCCGTGTTTCTGACACCTGACAAATCGTCACCCCCCATCTCTTGTCCTTAACACCTTAATTTCACGTGAACTTTAACAGCACCTGAAATAAAGATAATGAAGTGAATCGATTGAAAGAAAGAAAGAAAATGTAGTGAATTGATTGAAAGAAAGAAAAAAAGAAAGAAAGAATATATGTATGTATATATATAGGATGTATCAAAAATATTTTACAAACTTTAGGGTCGTGTTCCTGGCAGTAAAACAGGGTAATATGTCCAAAAGGCCAACGTTGTACCTCAACACACCAACTCATAACATATGTTTCTCCGCTTGCTTGTGCACACTTATGCACCCGTCGGATCATTGACTGGCGGACCCTTTCAAATACTTCCACACGGTGTTGAATGATTTCGCAGGCCTCCATGAAACGTTAATGAAGCGTCTCTGCCTGCTTCATAAACCAAGTATCGCGACGATGGCGATCCGGTGGGGAGTTCTCGCTTCCTTCTGCCGCTTGGCCGTGCTTAGGATCCCTGGTAGATGCGGGTGAATGGCCCACGTCGCTCTACGACGGAAGAGTCCACGATATTCAATGTATATTTTACTACATTATTTTTATTATTATAGGTGTTATTTTTAGTCGGTACACTTGTTTGAATTGCAATCCGTAATTTTTTAATTAAACACTGAAACTAATAATTTCTTAATTTTTAAAAATCTTATCTAAAATCATG